AGGAAAGTTTTAATTAGTAAAGTTTTATTAAGGATAGGATTAGGAAAATTAAAAGAGAAAAGTTAGAGAAAAAGGGTTTGTAAAGAAGGGGTATAAATATCCCACATATGAGGCAAATCAAACTTTGCCCAGAGTGGAGAAAACCCATGGTAAACTTCTCTCTCCTTTCTCCTTTTCCCCCTTCCCTTTTTTTTTGGCTACTCTTTCCCCCCACCACTGCTGACCACCGGCATCTGGCAGCCGGCGTGGTGGCTGCCGCTACACTCCCCTCCCCTTTTTCGATTAAAAAAAAATTGAATCTTTATTACTTAAGACTAATTTATTCCTAAATCTAATTGTTAATTATGAGTTTTGGGATTTGATTTTGATGTTTGATTATAAGTATTATGTTAATTAATTTTCTGATTATGTTTTTAATTAAAGAGCCCCAATTTTTAAAACCCTAGGTTCTTGATTTGTAAATTATTGAAGGGTTATGATGTATAATGGTTAGATCTTTGATTAAAGTGTTTTAAGGCTTAACTACAACAACTTTTAACTAAAATATAGTGCTGTAATTTTTAGTAGAGCACTTAAAATCAAGTTTCTTTAAGGAATTTTAATTACACAATAATTGGGATTAAATTATGATGTTTTAAAAATAATTCAGCATGTTTTAATTAAATTATGAGGGGTTTTATAATAGTATATATTGCTGGAAATTGTGTAAAGTGGATTTTAATACTCTTCTATAATTTTAAATTGTAGGAGACTTCGAAATGAGTGATTTTTACTAGTCGTGGCGATTCTAAGATCGTATACAAGGTACGTTCGCGTACTTAGCATAATTATGTAAATAAAATAGCATGCTAAATGTGTTTGATTGATTACAAATAGTACCATGCTAGGTTTGGATTGGAAATTATGATTTGGATGTTATTGATGATTGGATTATGGAGCATGATTTATTTGGTGATGGATTATTGAATGGAAATTAATAGTTTGGAATATTATTTATGAACCACATATTTATTTATGGCATGTTAGGGAGCATGTTAAATTAAACTAAATGATTAATTTGGTTTGGAATATTGAAAAGGAATTTTATTATGCATGGTTCATATGATTTTTATTGATGCTATAAGCATGAGGAAAGAGTCATATAAGTGTCTAAGTACGCAAGGAATAAATTGTATGTTGGTGCTTTAGTGCACTTAAGGTGTTTTTTAACACCGAGGGTTAGGATTTGTGGCGCTTTATGCGTTTAAGGTGTCATTGGCACCGAGGTAGAATTAAAAAGGATTCAATATTAAATATTATGTGGTCACTAATTATTCGAGAATTAAATTGGTGTATTTGGTTGATTGAATAATTATTGTTAATTGAATGATTATGGTTTGAGAGTCATCACCAAGTTTAATAATCGGTAAATAACATAAAGTGAAAGAGATTACGCACCAAAACTCTTGAAACGTATATACCCTGAGTATGAACATATGGGGGGAGTTATGGAGTTTTATATTTAACCATAACTTCTACTGGAGTACAGGACGCTGTACATTCCTTTTACTATTATTATGCACAGGAATTCCGCCACTTACAAGTGGTTATTGATCCTGGCACGGTTAGCTCCCGTGTCAGTAACCTCAAATTTATTTGGGGGAGGTTAGGGGGAAACCCGTTCGATGCGTAGTTAACATTAAATAAATTATGTAGTGTCTAGTGAGAACTTTTGTTGAATGTTGTATGATTGAAAGACAAGTACAACGAGGTAAGTTGTGTGTTGATAGGAAATTATATGTTAGTGTGTTATTATTTACGCTAGCTTATATACTCAGCTTTGTTGATTGTGTGTTTTATGTGTTTGTTGGCCTTATCTTTATCTTGACCCTATGATGACCCATTTTTAATGGAGAGTATTAGAAACAAGTAGAGATAAGCTTTTCAGGTGATAAAGCATATTCATGAATGGGCATGAGTGAAGAGCGAAACATGCTAGTTTTTATAAGTATATGAATGTGTTATCGCTTTATTTATTTATGACTATATTATTATTGGTGACTAACAAAAAGGGTTTTGATTTCGGTTCTGTTTTGATAAGGGCCTACAATGGTTCCAAGTTGTAGGTTGATTTTATTTTACTGTGTTTGACTTTGGTTTGACTTTACTCTCGTTGTTTGACTTTTCAAAGTTGACTTGATTAGAATTGTTTTGAAATTAGTCTTCCGCTGTGTGTCTTTGATAGTCGCCTTAACCGTTATCACGGTGGCGGTAATGTCTTAGATATTCTTATTTAAAGTTTTAAACAGGGAAAAACAAACATTTTAAAAGGAAGGAATTTCTAGGGTGTTAAAATTGTGGGCGAGAAAATGATGTAGGCTTTTCAGAATAATTTCCCAACCATAGTATCTACACATACCTAGAGTCATTTTCAGATCAGTGCAGTCCATTTATTTACCTTTGTCATACATTCATACTTCACCAAAGAGTGGAAAAAACAATTTAGGTTTGAGCAATTCAGCATATGTGGATGCTAGATAACTCCTTGAAACACATAGTTGATAATTTACATGGTAGAAGAAATGGGGAACTTGGTGCTGGTGACACATTACTCAATACCCAAAATATATTTCACCCCATAATGTATTATTATAATGGAAAGGAGGAAGTCTTTGGAAACGTATATATAGAGAAGAAACGAAGAGTAGTGACAGGAATTGATGGTATTTAAAAGTACCTTGAATCAAACCCATAATCTACTAGATCTTTTACTAAAATAACTAATTTAGTAAAATTAATTACCCAAATGGATACTTGTAAATTCTAATTCTTAAAGTGGCTAAAATATTGACTTGGAAGCCTTGAAGGGCTTGAACCATAATAAATTTCTTTTTCTTATTTTCCGTGAACCATTTTTGATTTGGTTTTTGCCTATTATTTTTATTATTTCACTTAAGTTTAAAGCGTAACTTGCAACCTTATATGTAGATGGCCATTCCAAATTTCCATCACCGTCTTTAATTTCCACTTTTCATCAAATCCTCTAATAATTAACATTCCATTCATGGACTTAAATGAATGTTTACATTGCACTTCCATAAGGTATAAAACATTGTTATAAGAAAATAAAATTCAAATCATGTAAATTGTAAAACCCTTGAAATTAATTCGAAAGATGACTCAAGGTAAAGTTCACAACATAGAACCCTACAATTTTTTTATTTTTTTTTTATTTTTTAAGAAGCCCCTAATCACACTAAATTTCATTGATTACAGTCATACGACATCTACAATTGATGATTAACGACAAAGAAAATAAATTTAACAAAATCAAATAAGAATTATCTGGAGAAGGACTAAGAATCCTAATACATAGATATAACAATTCAACATATTCTCGATTTGTTATCTCATACAGCTTTTTGAGAAGATCCGTCAACGCATCGTAATTTTTGGAGGAAGAAAATTCTTGTGACAATTTTGTATCCTGAATCAGAGTAACCAATATCAACCATAGCCTCGCACAACCTGATACTATTCCAAGCGTAGAGAATACCTTGTCTTTCGAAGGAGTTCGAAAAACCTTGTCTTTTGAAGGAGATCGAAAAAACTTTATCTTTCGAAGGAGAAAACCCCTCTCTTTCGAGGGAGACAAGTTCCTCTCGAACGGGGGAACCATTATTATAAACTAAAAACAAACAAAAAGCAGAAAAAAAAAACTTAGATTGGGGCTTTCCACCGGCAAGATCCGATGAAAGCCCCTAAAAAATTAACAATGGAGGCTAATGTTGAGGAGAGAGGTTAGGGTTTTTTAAATTAGATGCCTACAATTTTATTTAAAAGATCAATATAAGTAATAATTGTGCCAAAAAAAATAACTTATGAAGTAAAGTCCAATATAAATCCCTTTAAGTTAAACAAAAACAAGAATTACCTTCATTTAATTTGAGTCTCGAATTTTATTGTTGAAATTGATTCGTAATGTGTTTTTTCTTTACCATTTGATCACAAACCTTTACAAAATCACACATAAATAACCTGGCAAGCAGGGGCGGATCATTGAAGAGACTCAATGGGGCTTGGCCCCTGATAAGTTTGGGGACAAAAATAATATGAATAGGCTTAAACTACACTAATTTATTACTTTTCTTACTTACATAGGAAAGCCAAATAATTAGGACTACAATGACTATCTAATTTCCAATAAATCAGTGACACCACTACCCACAAAACCCCTCTTTCTCTTTTAATTTGATCCGCCCATCAAACCATTTTTTTTAATAAAATTGAAGTAATGTAATTTTTTCAAGGGAGCACAACTAAAAGTCTAAAAGCATCAATAAAATTTGCTAACAAATATCACTAATATCCGTTTAATTTTTGTTCGGGTCTTGTTAACAAATGCCTCAGGCTTCAAATAAACATTTAAAATATTTACTAAAATAGCACGGAGTATTAATTTAGAATTGCATACCATAATCACGCGACGATCAATGTAATTAATGTTCAGTTTTACAATATTTCTACTTGTAGTTATCTTATCCAACTCCCTGCGACATTCGTGAGCTTTTACCTTTTATTTCACAATTACATAATGACATTATTTTGTATTTCCGTATTATTAGATTTGTTAATGACTTTCATATGCTTATTTAAGTCTAGTCTTGTTTTAGCTGTAAAATTGTGTAACTCCGTAAAAATGATTGGCCCCCGAAAGAAAAACTTTCAAGATCCGCCATTGCTAGCAATTAAACAACATAAAGTGAAATTCAAACATCATATTACATATTATGGATAGGAAATGCACAAAAATTGAAAACAATTTACAAAGAAACCGAACAAAATTGAAGATTTTAAAATAAAGGGAATTGAATGACATATGAGATACAATAATTGGGAGAAATTATAATAAGTTATACTACGTACTAGATCAAAGTTGGCACGACACAAAAAAATGTCGAGTTTGGGCAAAGTTTTTGGGCCTAAACTAGTTGTGGGTAATCCATAATTACATTTTAATCAAAAAATAGGCATGACCTGATTTTGGCCCAAAAAGCTAGTTATTTAAGGCACAATTTATTTGCCCCGAAGTTAGGCTCGAAACAGACCATTTTTTTTTTTTTGCCAAAGTCCAACTCGTGATCACCTCTAGAAAAAACATTGCATTTTTTTTTATATTATTTCAAAAATAATAAATTCACATAATTTCAGAAAATATAAGTTCACATAATTTTTTTTTTGATTCATAAGAGGATGAAAAATCCAAAAAAAAAAAGAAAAAGAAAGGAACAAGCAGAAACAAACACACAACAGAAAAAAAAACTACTCTAGAAAAACTAAAACAAAAAAGAAAGGATTAACCGGGGTATTGACACCCCTCTAGCATCTTCTTGTAGAATTCTCCCAAGATCTTCCAGAACCATATTAAACATAATTTAAGTTTAATAAAAATTATTAATAATTTAATATTGAAACAGACACCGGTAATGACACGTATCATATCATGGTGCTGTTTTCTCATAGTGTGAGTACTAAATTAGAAAATCATTCCATAATGACAATAGATAATCCCGAGGAGAAAGATTAGTGACCGTGGGGAGTTGGGAACACCACACCCCCACCGTTGAATTTAAAAAGTAGCATTGTCCTAATAAAATTAGCAGTGGCATCTCAAGAAGTCAGCAGCTTAACTACTTACCTCAGCTTTACTAACCATTGAATTCGACTCTAAACAATAAAAAAAAAAAATACTAGTAGAGAGTAAATTGAGCAGTCAATTACTGTAATTGTAATACTCCTCGGCTCCTCCTTCCCACTTCTCGTCTCATCTCATCGTGCTCCCACTTTCACTTCCACTTTTTCTCCCGCTAATCTCGCCATTTTCTCTCTCCTCTCCTTCTTTAATCAAATACCAAATATCTAATAATCGCGGGTTTTTCTCATCTTTCAGACAATCAATCATGTCTCCCTTCATTCTCTCATTCTTCTTCCTCCTTCTCTCTCCTCCTCTTTCTCTCTCTACCCCTTTCAGTAATCACTCTTTCTCCTTCTTCTTCAATTTCCGCCATTGATGACGTCACTACTTCTAAGTACTAACCATTATTTTCTCTCTCCTCTTTTGCAGATATCTCCTACCACATTGATTGCGGCGGCTCCACCACTTTTACCGACCACTTCAAAACCACCTGGCTTTCCGACCGCTACTACACCGGCGGCTCCACTTCCGTCGTCTCCGAACCCCTCCAATTCTCTCTCCAACAAGAGAAAACCCTTCGTTTCTTCCCCCCTACTACAACCGGCCCCAAAAACTGCTACATCCTTCCCACGGCCGTGCACGGCGGTCGCTACCTCTTCCGCACATTCACCACGTACGACAATTACGATGGTAAAAATCATCCTCCGAGCTTCGAGGTCTCCGTCGAGGGCACGGTCGTGTTCAGCTACCAGTCCCCGTGGGCGGAGTCCCTCTCTTCCGATGGGTTTTACTCTGATCTAATTGCATTCGTCCACGACGGCGATGCCGATGTGTGCTTTTATTCCATCGCAACTGATCCACCCATTATCGGAACCCTCGAGGTGGTTGAGATTGATCCGGATTCATATGACGCTTCCAACTTGGGGAACGACACCGTTTTGGTTAATTATGGCAGGTTGAGCTGTGGTCAGGAACAGTGGGGTCCGGGACTTAGCAATGATACCGACTTCGTGTGGCGGTCGTGGCAGTCGGATGCTAAGTTCCGGTCAAAGAACATGAAGGGTCCGAAGGTAATTTCGACGACAACGGCGGTTAACGGGGCGAACCAGAAGCCGAATTATTTTCCGACGAAGTTGTATCAGCACGCGGTGACTGTGGGAAATTCAGGGGTTTTGGAGTATGAATTGACTGTGGATGCTAAGCTGGATTATCTGTTGTGGTTTCATTTCGCTGAGATTGATAGCAAGGTTACTAAGGCTGGACAAAGGGTGTTTGATGTGCAGGTGAACGGGGAGAATGTGAATCGAATTGATGTTTATAAGGCGGTCGGAGGGTTTAAGGCTCATGATTGGCATTATGTTGCTAAGAATTTGAGTAGTACTTCATTGACTGTTAAGTTGGCTCCTGTTGTTGGAGAGCCTATTCTTAGTGGGTTGGAGGCTTATGCCATTGTACCTAATGACCTTGCTACGGTTCCTGATCAAGGTATATGGCGGATTGTATAATTTTTTGTTTTTGGGGAGTTTCTGTTTTATTTTTATTAGTAATTGCATGCCAAGTTTCTTAATTTTATGATCATTGGGATTGCTTTCATTTCATTTCTTGTAGATATGAAATGGTCAAAACCTTTGTGGAATGTTGCTTATGATGATAATTTAGTAATTTTTCGGTCCAATTTGCTATTTCGATTTTTCCTTATGTAATAGGAAAAAGGTGAATGTGCTATTGGAGGGTTTTATTGGTGGTTCATAAGTAGATTTTTGATGAGATAATCTAGGCATTAGATGGTTCCTGTCATGATTATGCTGTAGGAGCTCCGATTTCTGTGTCTCTGATCTTTGGCCTATTCTATCTTACTACATTGTTCATATACTGTAGTGGCTGTCAATGCCTTTTGTTTTCTCCAGCACATCGTGTCATTTCTTGCTGATTGAAATGTGGACAAAATTATATGATCAGAACTTGCATGTGTTATTGTTAGGGTACTTTGTGTTTCCTGATATGAGAATGTTATTGCAGTTGTGGCTATGAGGGCATTGAAGGACTCGCTTCGAATTCCAGGTCGAATGGGATGGAATGGTGATCCATGCGCCCCTGCTACCTGGAATGCATGGGAAGGAGTTATTTGTCGTACTAACAAAGAGGGGAATGCCCTTGTTATATCTCAAATGTATGTTGTTCCTTTGCTTATAACTTTGTATCTTTTGGTACTAAACATCTTTGTCATGCCCTGATACCCTCAATTGTTCTATGTAGTGACCTTGGGAGCCAGGGTTTGAAAGGATTCATTAGCGACCGGATCAGTCTTTTAACAAACTTGGCTGTCTTGTAAGTATCTAACACATGGTCTTTTACATACTTATCTATTCCGGAGAAGCTATAACCTGTTGCATGTCAACCTAGGATTCAGCATTTTTCGATCTCTTTGGCCCCTCTGCGTATTTCACAACTTTAAAATGTATAGCTTTAGAATAGAGATAAAGACAGAGCTGACTTGACATATATTTTTGACGATAAGGACTATACGTTACAAACTTTGTAAAAAGGGTCTTTGTCTTGAATATAAAAAACCGTTACTTTTATTGAAAAAAAGTTACTTTTATTGGTGAAAGGATCATTCTTTAAAGATAAAGCTGTGCTAAGAAGAACTTGAATGTGTACTTTAAAAGGGAGCGAAGCCATGAATTAAAACCCAAGGGGGCCGAAACTTATACCACTACATTAGATAAAGTAGTAATTCATATTGTATTTTGAAGGTTTTTTCATTGCAAAATTATTGTTTTTGCGCTATTATAATTACCTTTATTCAATCATATGTTTTTTTACTAGTATATTAAAAACAAATGTTATTAAGTACTCTATAACGTGTGTTATACTGGTATGATTAAGCTCAATGTATAATTCTAATAAACCATTTTTTTTTTTGTAACTTTTACTAATTATTACTAAAGGTATCAATGGTCGAATTTAAAAAAATGTGCAAAATTAACAAAAAGAAAGTTGAGAAGGATTAAAGTAAAAACAAGAATTGAACTTGGGACTTGCAGTATAACAGCCATCATAATTTACCACCGGGCTATAGATTTCAATGCAATAAAATAAGGAAGTTTTATGCTAGTTTTAAAGGAGGCCAGCATAGAAAAATAAAAGAGTTGGGGTTTAGGGGCATGGGTAACGGGCCTCCACCAGCCCCCTTGGCTCCGTCTCATATTATTTAGGACATGAATGTGTATGAAAGGAATATGGAGACATTACTGTATGCTCTACACTTCCTTTTTTTTTCTTTTTTTTTTTTTTGGTTCCAAAGAACATGAAGGTATTATAAGAAAAGCAGATTGAAACATGCAAATTTTTTTAAAAAATCATTTATGTGAAAAATATATGTTAGCCTGAAACCAAGATGCCGCGTCTAAGGTCTTATGAGCTAAGTTGGCTTCTAGCGAATTTTTGAAGGATACTCATGATTACTACTCATATCTTCCAGGGTGTCTATAATGCATGCTAGGAACAGAGTTTTATGTTCTTTTCTCATGGTGGAATTTTCAATTTGTTTTAAGTGGTAGTCTGTTAGCCTTTATAATTTGACCTTTATTATCATTTCTATGACAGGAATTTAAGTTCTAATTCCTTGACGGGCTCTTTGCCAGAAGGCCTTGGTCAACAATCTCTTGTAAAACTGTAAGTACAACTACTTTGCTAGCTGGGACATGTCATTTATATTTATGCACAGTTCTTTTTTTTGATTGGCAAAGCATTTTGGACTTTAAAAAAGGCTCTCCAATTTGATTTGCGGTTTAATTTTCTTTAAGTCAGGTTTTGTTTGCTTGTCAGCTGTGTTAATTTAAAATCTAACAAACTTTCTTGTATGCTTACCTTTTAATATCTTTAGTATTATTTGAAGTCTTTGCTGGGTTTTAGCTGTGAAAGAAGAGCCAACTCCATTCCATGCCATTTTTATAGTCTCAAGCTGTGACATATGTTATCTAAGATTTTGAAACTCCTTTTGAGGTTCCCTTACTACATATTTGTGAAAAGAACAACAAAGCTTCTGTGAATTATGCTGTTTCCACTGGAAGAATCTGGGGAGGTCATGAGGTATAATCTAAAATGTCTGAATACTCAAGACTAGTAGAGAGGCTGTAGCCAAAAGATCTTTAGCACAAAATTATTTCCAATAAAATACAAAGTAGTGGAGGAGGAATACATTGTGTAACTGGCTATTCTCGCTGAAGGGATTTTACCAAAAAAATACCATGGCTTTCTTGGGTCGGAATACTTTCAACTAAATTAATCATTTGATGGCTAATCATGTCGAGTTCCTGAACATTGTAAAAACATGTAACTATATACTTTTAATTTTGAATATTATGGTAGTCAGGCTTGTTTTGTGCTCTTAAAGTTTGACAGTTAGTTTAGCAACGACTTGCAAAATTTTGGGGATGGACTCCAAGATATTAACATTCTAAGATTTAATATTGAAAATGGATGTACTACCTCTGTAACTCTGTTGCTTTTTAGATGCAACAAAGGGATGGAAAAACTTCCTATTACAGCTAAAAAGTAACAGAGGTAGTATATTTTATTTCTGCTCTTATTTGAGTTTTTTTTTTTTTTTTTTTTTTTTTTTTTTTTGTCCAGGTTTGAACCCCTAAAAAGTGTGATAAAAACATGGTGCATATTTAACCGAAGACTTTATAATAGCAAATATTACCTTTGTTTCAAATAGTTCCCCACAATATACACACCTTTTCACTCACTCTCTCTTACTTTGTCCACCTTTTTCTTACACCCACCCACTTTTCACACACTCTTACTTGATCAAATTTTATTTTACACCCGCTCACCAAACCTACACTCTCTCTCTCTCTCTTCAATTGCCTTAATTTGTCTGCATTGGTAACGAAAGTGTTATTATATAAAATTCATAATTTAGTATTATAAAAAGTGTTGTCTAACAATGACCTATCGTGGCTTTAATGCTTGATACTTTGAGAACTGAGAATTGTATAGTTGAAGTTTTGTGTTGGTTTCCTACTTTGTTGCGGCTTGTAATTTGTTATATTGTATTAAGGTAGGGCCTTTGTAGTGCTCTCCAAACTAGTTTAGAATGGATTCCCCACCATTGGTCATTCCTGATAAGGGGAGAGAGAGAGAGAGAGAGAGAGAGGGGGGGGGGGGGGAGGATTGCTCTCCAAACTAATTTAGATTGGATTCCCAGCGTTTGTCATTCCTTAAAAAGAGGGGGGTGGGGTGGGGAAGGATTACAATATCAATATTCTTCCTATGCACTTGTGCTTTACTTCCTCCGTTCTTTTGTTGTTGACACATCTTAACTTTTGACACTATTCACAAACTCTATTTTCACTTGCTTTTGTAATATAAAACATAATCATGTGGGATCTTGGTAGAATTGTCTCAATGTCTATTTTCATAATATCAACTTTATTTAATAATTTTTATTTATTGGATAATTAGAGATATTTATCAATGAACTTGTGCGTTGGCAAACCTATTAAAAGACACGTGTCAACTAAAAAAGAACGGAAGAGTATACTGTATATGTCTCTATAGTATGCAAAGCCAGGAAATAAAAATAATATAGATACTTTTGATATGCTCTGTTTTATTTTGATTTCTTAATGGAATTGAGTTGTGTATTTTATCTTGTTTATAAGCTCATGCTGATGGGCTTTCCCAAGCGTCTCCCTTTTTGATGTATGTGAGATTGATTTTTTCTCCTATTACTTGATTTCTGGACTCCCTACTTTGCAATTCTTCTTTTTCTTTAATTTTTTTTTTTTTTTTTTTGTTGTATTATTATGATAAAACATACCAGCATCATTTTATCAGAACAGATGAAAATTGCTGAAATTCTATGGTTTTTGATATAGAAAGTGGTCATGCATCATATTGATGATGCACTTTTACTTCAAGATTAACCTTTGGTGATAAGATACATAAATGCAGTCCTTTTAATATATATATATTTTTTCATGTCTCTTGGCAGGGATTTGTCAAATAATGAGCTTACAGGATCTATTCCTGATAGTCTTGCTACATCAAGAAATTTGCGCCTTGTGTAAGTATTAACCACCTATATCCTCATGACTTCTTCAATCACTTAACTAATGGTTTCATCTAAAAGTAATTGTAGATGTCCAATACTTTACTGCTTATTTCATATTCTATTGCTATTCTAGGGTCATAGAATACTGAAATAGTAGGGTATCTCCAGCCTTGACCAAATTCTTATCTTGATCTGCAAAATAACAATAACCAATTTGGGTTGGTTTAGTTTGGATTGGATTAAATTTTGGTTTGGGTCAAAATTGTGTTATGTAGTTCCATGTAGATTTTGGGATTGGTTTGAATCAGGGTTTGGGTCAATATATTCAGACTTTATCATGGTAAAGCATTTCAAATTGATTGTTTAAAATGACTGTCTTAGATTACCATGATGTGAAGACAGTGACTCTCTTAGACATAAGCTGTTTGTCACAGCGCTTGATGAAACATTGTAATTCTAGAGTTCTAGTCAATGTCTCTCTAAAGACCACTCTGATAAAATATTCGGATTTATCCTTGATATGGAACATGATTTAATTGCATTTATGTGCATAGAGATTTTCAATATTTGGGTAGGTAGGATGAATGACCCCTCACCAGGTCCCCTTGGGGGTAGGGAGAAAGAATAAGAGGAGTTCCACCCTGAAGAGCCCCTATCGGGGTTTTGATCACATGACCTCAAGATCATGAGAGACATCCCTTGCTCTTAAACAAAGTACTATTTGGTTTGGCTTTTAGAATTGCATAGAGCTCATATTGATCCCATGTTATTTATGGTCGCAGACCTGGTCTTGTTGCTGTCACTTTTACCACAAGTTATATTCAGGCGCTCGTCTTCTGTAGCTTTAATGTCAGAATGTTAAATATTTTTTATTTATTTAATATGGTAGAGTTTGGGTGGTAGGAAAAAGTGAACTATCTTTTAAGAGAACCACGTTGTAAAATTGATTGATGCTGGGAAAATTACGAGAAAAGGGGGCTTGGGTTACGGTAGAGCTCTTTAAAGATCTATGTAGTAGATTTTGCCAAATCTCAACCATCATATCAATGATCAATGGTTCCACTTTATCCATGATAGCCTTCCATTGCTTTTCTTTGGGTAGTTTCTGCAACCACTCCTTCCATCTCACCTGCCATCTCTGGCTACACTACGCAGGAACCCACCTGGGGTCATTGCTGCCATCACTCTACAGTACATATGCAATGCTGCTGTCACTGCTCACACTGTGGAACTTACTCATAAACATAAGCTTATAAATCATTTATTTATTTTTTAAAATAACCTAAAGGGTATTAAGATGTTAAAGGAAGCGTGTCTATTGAAGTATATCTTACCAAATAACACATGTAAGTGTCCCACATTGTGAAAAGAAGAGAGAGTCAAACACTTTATAAGGTCAAGGGGCTACTCCTATTGTCATATGGTTTTGGGATGGAACCTCCTTGGTTGTATAAAAGTGGACTATCTCTTTCGGTTTGCGGGTGCGACCCAAACTTATATTTAACATGGTATTAGAGCCATGCCCATGATATGGGATCTCTAATGGCTTGATCATATAGCCACGCCCAAGGTTTGGGACCTTTAATGGCATTAATTGTTTTGGACCTTGAATTGGATCAAGTGATCCTTGAGTTAAAAAGGAACCTTACATGTGAGGGGGAGTGTTGAAGTATATCCTACCAAATAACACATGTAAGTGTCCCACATTGAGAAAAGAAGAGAGAGTCAAAACACTTTATAAGGCTAAGGGGCTACTCCTCCTATTGCCATATGGTTTTGGGATGGAACCTCCTTGGTTATATAAAAGTGGACTCTCTCACTTGGTTTACGGGTGTGGCCAGACTTGTATTTAACAATTTTCTTCAATAGTGATTTTTGGCTGTATTGACAATTTCAAAGTTAGGTAAGAAAATTGTTTACTTGTCCTCCATCCTCACCCTAAAACTGCATACTCCCTTTATCCCATATTACTTGCAACATTTTAACTATACAAGCTTGTCAATACAACTTTGACCATCAATATATATAATTACATATTAGTAAAATTTCAAAAGGTTTGAAGTTGGAAAATATACATTAAAATAGATCCATCAATATCCATGTACTAACATTTGCTTTTATAGAGTAGCAAAACAAAACCAAAAAAAAAAAAAAAGAATGGTCAAAGTGAGGTGTGAATAGAGCAAAAAGTCAAAATGTTGCAAGTAATTTGGGACGGATGGAGTACAAAGTTACATATGTTTACCTCTCTCCTACTCTCGTCGAACCCTTAGTTTTGAAATCACTCTTCTAAAAACCATGATTTGTTTTCGGTTTGGATTTAGGCCAAATCCAATCCAATCCGATATATAATTCGGTTTCTTATTCGATCTGATCCGAATTTCTCTCCCAATCCGATTCATATTAAAATCTGATTATTTGAATCCGCTCCGAAATCCGAATCAAAATACGTTAACTTTTAGTGCCTATCCAATTATAAAAACAAAGCCTTAATATTAGTACAAGTCTTTAATATCATGATTAAAATAAATAGTTTAACATCAAGTCATTAGTTAATTAATACAAAGTCTCCCAAATTTATTTTATACCATAGTAAGTATTTGGGCTAAACTTCAAAAGGCCAATTATAAAACAAAAAAATCCATATTCATACAAGCTTAATTTTACAATTCGGTTTTCGGATTTATTCGAACCCAGCGTCAATCCGAATTTACTCAAAATGTCAATCCGAATCGTCCGATTATAAGTTCGGACTCGAGTTGAATTGACAATTTGGTTTGGATTGGATTGGATTGGATTTCAGTTTTAATCCAATTTGTGGACACCAATCTAGATGGACACAACCAAGTTTGGTGATGTGATTTTTTTTTCCAACGTGTCTACGCTGTGAACACCTTACTTGTTAGAGATGTGCGGCACATTTGGTAGTTCACATGCTTTTTTTTTTTGTTGGGGGGGGGGGGGTCACACTAGACAAGTAATCAAGCATAAGGCTAGATTCACCCTTATATCATATTTAACGGTACATTGCTCTTTCAATGGTTCTGCTTCTCTCTCGCTTCCACTCCCTATAAGAAACCTCCCCAAAAAAAAAACCTACAATGGTGGGTATCTCTCTATGATAATCTACCCATGTGTGCCTGTGTGGCTGTGGGCCAATAAAAGTTTGGAGAATTATGGTCACTCAATACACATTATGTGGGCCAAAAAACCCTACAATGGCTAATTCTTAAAAAAAATTAAGTGACTCCAGAGAGCAACTGAAGAGCCTCATTGTCAGAGTAGAGTTTGCTCTTAAGTTTATCTCTCCTCCAAGAGCTACTTGAAGATTACCAATGTACATGCTCATATTATCCGACGATAATTTGTAGGAGTATGCTCTTGCATTTCACATCATGTATATTGACTATTGAGGGGTTGAGTATCCATATATAATTTCTCATTATGAGATGGAATATTCATAACATGTAGGATTGCTACATTTGTAAGAAAAGGACCTTCCAAGAGGTTGGGGGGTTCAATCCATACTAGGAGCTCTTTGAGGGTGGAGATCCCCTTACCCTTCCCCCACTCTCAAAGTGTCTAACTCGGGTTAGTTGATATGTGTAAGGTTCTGGACCACTGGACCGGTTACCTTCCAAAAAATAGTTATGTCCATGCAATCATGCTCACAAACACATTGTTCAACAAATAAAGTGAATATGAGAGATCTGTCTCGAGTTTGATACGAATTTCAGTGGTTTAAAGAACTCTTTTCAAGCTCTATTCAAGTATTTGTGACAGTTTTCTGGTTCTGGCGTGACAATTTAATATCATATACTTAAATTAAAAATAATTGCTACATTTTCGATTAATGGAAGTTGGGTATTGCTGGTTAGAAACCTTTATTTAGTAAGTTCGAATGGATAAATGAATATCCCTTATTTACTTATTCTTTGGCACTACTTTTTTCCAGTTTCTGCTTTACCCTTTCCTACTTTTACATCAATCATTGACCAACTCTATGCCTTGTCATATTTGTGTGTGCACCTATGGAGCTTTTATTAAACTTTAGAAACTGCCCAGGTGGAGGCATATTGACTTGATGAAACGTGCTAATGCTTTGCTTAAGTTTGTAAACCTGATGTCCATTGTCCAAAAGGCATTTTATTGGTTTATTAATGGTTTTGGTGACTCCTTTTGAAGCCTAACTATGTGTGGGATAGAGTAATGAATTTTTAATAGAAATTGAACTAGACCATGCTCAATACTGTAAGAGTGGATGGGAAATTTCACTGGGCTTAACTTCCCGCGGTAGTTTTTAAAATTCATTTCTCATGTAAATGCACTACCTTACATTCAGTTTATGTATCTTTATCTTACATTTCTTACATGTGCCAGGCTGTTGAATGATAATAAATTGGAAGGACGAGTGCCAGAGGAAATTTACTCCGTTGGTGTACATGGTGGAGCTATCGAGTATGTCTGGTTATGTTTTCATGCTATAATATATCGCTATTCTATCTCCATTTCCATTAGCTGCAGACATATAAATGATTTAAGGATTGTATGTAATGTGCTAGTTCAACTTTAAGAAACCAACATGAATTGCTTGGTCTGGAGATCTTTAAATATAATATATGCTGACCATGCTGTCCTTCACAACATGTACTCTTATTGTTCCGAGCAATATAGCGAAATATTTATTTGGCTTGTCTTGCTTACTATCTTGGCATGCATATTGTCAATTTGTCATTCTTTCTGCAATTATGCTTGTTAGAGTGTGTCACAGTTTTTTTTTCCTTTTTCTGCCTCTCCCATTCTGTGCTGGGGATAATGTTATGGTGCAAGGATTTGTTGGAATAAAGTAATGGTGCGAATTTAAAGGAATTGAAATTGCAATTTTTTTGCTTGTGGCTCATTGGATCTCTTTTTCCATATGCTAACTCGAATTTGCCAATGAAACATGCTGTATAAACATCTGAAATTAGTGCCGTCCTCTGTCTGCTTCTATGCTAACATTGAACTGTTTCAGTCTCTCTGCGAACAAGGGTCTGTGTGGTATGCCTTCTTTGCCAGAATGTCCTCTTTTTTGGAGCAATGGTCAATTGTCCCGTGGTGGTAAAATTGGAATAGGATTATCTTGCATGGTTGTCGTCATGGTGCTTCTGCTGGTGGCATACATCTGTATAAGGAGAAAGAGGAATGATTATGACTTTGGTTTACCACATGAATTAATGTGTAAGTTGACTTTCATCTTGTATTTCTTCTGATCTTCATATCTTGTTTTTATTTATTTATTTATTTATTTTTATTTCTGTTTGCTGAGAGTGTATGAAAATCCATGCCTAGAATATTTTGCTTTGAAATAGTTGTTGAGTTGGTATTGTAGTTCCCATATTTGGCTGAAAGAACATATCTTATGTATCCCATACTTACAGGCTGGCTACATCTTTTTCCTTTTTCTACCAGTTATCATAATATTTAGTAGATGTGTGTATGGGGGGTGTGGGGTGTGACTGACTGACCATGTGGGTGGGTAGGGGTAATTTTAGGAATGTTTTGATTAGATTCAGTAGATTTTCACAAAGCAAATGACATTTAAGGGACTCAATTTTATCCCCTCCTGGAATAAAAGGATAGTGTTATAAGGATAAAGGTTGTGTGAAAGTAAATGATGAACCTGCATTCAAGGAACCCCACCTTATTGAAAAAGGAAATAAAACAAAATTCATTGAAATAGTTCTCCATAAATTCTCTTAGTTCTTTTTTTCAGCAACCCTTAATACTTTTGAAGTGGCCTAAACGGGCAAAACGGCTAAACCGACCCTAACCAATTTTAACCATTGGTGATTTTGAACCAAATAGAGATGACCCAAACCTGAAATAGAATCAAATCTAGCTCTATATATTTACTTATTTGTTGTCATTATTCTTAATTTGTTCATAAATCATAACATTCTCATTCTTAATTTATGTATGTTTTGTTGGAAACCCCTCAAATCAATTTGGCTAAAAATATTGCAACTAAGTGGCATGTTAAAATAAATTAGTCTCACTTCTAGTGATTCACCAATATACAGAGTTATATATTTGTAATATACGAAAAGTTACTGAATTCTATTGTTACCAAATATTAAACATCAGTGATCAGTATTAATAATTGAACATATAATATTATGTTCAGCTGATATACCAAGGTCATTTAATAAAAAAAAAATTAAAAAAAAATATAAAAAAATTGTCATACAAAGTATGAAATTAAAGGAATGAACAAATTGTTAACAACACCAACCAACTTAAAGAAGTGCATAGATAAACTCTGTCAAACTTGATGGCCCATTTATTGACCTGACTCAAATGTATCCAAACCATACCCTTTCTGACATTGAGATGGCCATACCCTTTATTATCCATTATAGTATACCCAAACTCAGATGTATCCAAACCATAACACACCCATATTGATAAAATGTAAACCCTATTTAACCTGAACTATCAATCTAGAGGATCCAATCTGAATGCGATTCAACTGACCTGTATGATCTAATATCGAGTTGCATGTCAGGTAGGGGAACTCTGTTAAAAGAATGTGTAACCATACATATATGTAACCTAGGAAGGATTATTGAAGGAAGAACAATTTTCTCTTAATGAGAAGAATAGCTAGATATTGGGCTTATTGGCTGCATGAGTACATGCTGTATGCTAAACTCTGAACAAGTGAGCTGTTGGAGTTAAAATACATAGTAAAAGGTGAAGGGTATAGAACAATAAGTTGGTTATAGTTCATTCCACTCAAAAAACAAACATAGAGCTAACAAACATCTTATGATATAGAGCAAAGAATAAACATTTTATGATATGATGATGATGCCTAACTCCCTACTAGTTATTAGTAGGAAAGTCAAGTATTCATATCCCTAAAAATCTGCCTCTTACATTAAATAAACTGACTAGTTAAACATGTGATCCTATACATTAGGAACTACTTTGAATCATCATTCAACTAGAATTCAGTTAACATTTCTCTGTGTGATTTTGCTATCTTTCGTACTGTTGGTCAAATATCACATAAATAATGAACAATTAAATTTACCATAAAGCCTTCTCCCATGACTTGCTTTGTTAGTTTGATTTGCTCACATTTATTGCTTCTATATTGATTTTGAAAAGGTACTTGATTGTCTACTCTGTATGGAATAGTCTATGATAAACGAATTACATACACACACACACACACACATTTCGAGTTCTGGTGGGGTTGCCATTCACAATTTGTATGTTCAAGGAACTCCGAGCATAATGAATCCATCTTTGTTGGAAAAAGATACTCATAATGTAAACAAGGAAAGTCTAGAAGAACTAAAGGAAATTCAGAACCAAAGTTTGATGTTAAATTATGTTGCAATGTGGACAATGATTTAGTGAGCGTTACAACATAAGTCTGATGCTGATAGCTCTGTGAATAAATGCAGTATAGAATCAAATTTTAACAGCTGTTATAGTAAAGTTGTGAGGATGGTGAGATGATTTTATCAGTCTTCTGGAGCTTTTATTAATTTACACAGTGCCTCTTGTGAAAATGCCTTAGCAGAACGGATAGCGGAGTATTCATGTTTCTCAAGATTATACTTTTAACTAGAATAGTATTCTAAAGCTAAGCAGTGCTCTTATGTGGTTTTATCATGTCTGTTGGGCACTTGGGCAGTTGGCTAATTATTTCCCATCCTGTGTGTCAATTTACAGCAATGGCAGCAAAGAGAAACCGATATCATAGACAGAAGTCCTTGATGGTCCTCGAAATGGAAAGCCAGCATGCCAAAGGTTTAATACCGCCATCAAAACCTCAATAACAAGAGACATTTTTGGCAGGAACAAAATTTTGCAGCAACACTATTTGTGGCTAACCAATAGTTAATAGAAAAAGGTCCTATGAAATTGTTGAGATATAATTGCAGAGAGCTCAGTATGATTGAGATCCTGACAGGTTTGGCATCTTCCAACAATTTGGTACAAAATGTGGTCACAACAAAACCAATTCCATGAAAAATACAGTGCATCGTATTTATTCTTTGGAAATGGCAGAAAAGGCGAATGCCCTTGAAAACTGTAAGTATTTATACCCAGTTTCGAGGAAAGATTGTTGTATGTATGAAATTGACATCCACTGCTGAAATGGTTAAAAATTCCAACACACGATCAACTTGTAGCTGCTGGTCCCAAATCAACTTGGTTATCATCATTGATCTGACGCTATTGATCATCTTTAGCAATTTAGCTCTTCTTTTTTTCCCCCTTATATTTAGTTATTGTATATTCTTCGTGTTACTGTCAGGTAATAACATGTACGAGTATTCATTTGGTCGAATATGATCCTGGGTGGTTTTATGTTGTCTGAAAGGAATTTCTAAAGTAGTTTTTTTGTGGCCAAATAATCTCTGGAAATCTGTAACTAAGCAATTGACTTCCCCTCAATGTAACCATTTCTGCTTAAATTATCTCATTGATGAAGCTTACTGTGAATATATTGTAATTTCACACTATCTTGGAATTTTATTTGTGTACTTTTCATTACTTTGTTGCATTCCATTGTTGATTGGTTACTATAAGTTTCTTCTTATGATAACCAATGCTTCTTAAGGACCAGGTAGATAAACTCTTCCAAGCAGCTTTATTTATGGATGACTCTAAATATGATTTGAAGCAACTTTTCCAACGTATGGGATGACTTATAAAGGACTAATGAACTAGACAAGTTTTGATCTTAGGGTTGGAGTACCATTCTCAACAAATTTTTCAAAAGTTAGATGACATTCATAGTTCTTTGGCAATTTAATCTTATACGAAGTATTTTCTATTTCACGTTAACATATTACCTTTGCTATTGTTTTTATGTCTAATCTCACATGTATATTCCTTCAATACAATGTCTATTATATATTCGAGTGTATGTAAGATATTATGTTCGTTGCGTACTGTATGCGAAAGGTATCTACAACAGTTGAATTAATCATGACATGGAAGTCAATGCAATTTAAGGATAGAGATTTGAGTAGTGGGCATGTATCTTGTATAGCCAAATGCATTGGACTAGTATGGAAATGAAAAGTTGACAATGCCTTCCTATACAGAGTGAAGGATTAAAGGAGCAAGTTGCTGTAAAGAAGATGCCATTGATGTCTAGTGTCGATATTTGTATAGTTATTAGTATTATCACCAACAACATTGGAATGTGTGAGATGTTAAAAAAATTTGCAACTTTTAAAAAAAAAAAAAATTACAACAAATCACAGTTTAATAGGTGTGGTGAGTTACACAAAACTAAACATTATTATATAACCAATGGATATGATTTCAGAGAGTTATTTGACTAATCAATTGAAAACTCAAAATTAAGGGGTATAAATTATACTACCTAAAATACCTTTATTTTTTTTGTTAACATGTTTTGACTTTAGCCTTATTCACACACTTCCCTATAATCGTATTTAGTGATTTATTCGTAATATAAAATAAAGTTATGTGGGATCTTATTATAATCATCATAGCAATACACTTCAATCTATAAGTTTTTTTTACAAGTATTTGCTTAACGGTAATTAAGATATTAATTGTTGAATTTGTACATTGACAAGCATAACTAAAAAGATCGGATGAAAAACTAGATAATATATTTAATTTTAAAACTTTAGACTTGCGGCCTTTGACATATTAATTTTAAAAATTCTAGGATTTTGCTGATTAGGAAATTTTGTTTCATTGAAAGGCTTTGTGTTGAAGATACTGAAGTATTCATGGACATACATACAAACAAGCTATGTTACCACTCCAATGTCTAGGTTTATAGGCAAAGGTAGCAAATTAGCCTTGCTAATTTGATACAAGTCTAGATTATATGTGGTCTATCTTGCTACAAGTATTATTTTTTATATAAAAAAATATTTTTATATGCGGTTTCATGATGAATAAAATCAAGCATTCATAAAGTTAAAAGACTTAAAACAATACTAAGGGTCTGTTCTCATACGTTTATTTTCAGTTCAGCTCAATTCAGTTCAGTTCAGCTCCTAATTTCCTTCGCTTATAAAATATTCATTTCATTTCAGTTCAGTTCAGCTGAGTTCAGTCTATGAGAACAGGCCCTAAGTTGAACACACACTTAAGTATTTTACTTTACAAGTTTGGATTTGATTCAAATCATTTTAAACCCAAGTCTACATAAATAATACTATCCTCTAAATTCCTAATTACTCCCTCCTTGGATCTTTTTCCACCGACGTTTCACCTTCTTCAGATAGCTCAAATAATCAGTCAACAAAAGCATTAACTAGTACACTTCACTCCTCTCTCATATGCCCTAGTATGAAACCATCAAAATTGTGGAAATTTTGGTTAAAATCAGAATTTTCAAAGTAATGCCAGGATAGTTACATGTCACACACACAACATAAAACATTAACATAATCTTATGTAAGCCAAAAAAATCAGATGGACATTGACTAAAGAATAAGAAAATAAAGATGATGATGTACTACTTTTTATCACCATTATTTTATTCTATTAACCCAATAAAATACAAAATATAATTATTAAAAATAATTAATTACAAAAAAAAAACAGGTTTATCTGCAACAGACGAAAAACAGACCTATCAGGTCCAACTGCCAACCCAGCAACAACAATAAACTGATCCAAGTGGCCCAACCCAATTTTGACTTTTCTTCCCTAACTTTGGTGCGTGCCATGTCAACAACATAACCCGATGTACTTTTTTTAATTAATTAAATTAAATTAAATTAAATTAATAATTGGATGATGACCCAATTGACTAATAAGATAGATGATGATGCTTACAAAGCAAATTATGTCCTTATTTCACGTGTATGGATCAAATTTAATTTATTTAATAATAACAATAATAATAATAATCTTACATTATATTATAAAAAAATACTCCCATAACCATAACCATAGGTTATATAACATGATTTATTTATTTTTCCATGTGCATCATATTTTATTATCCACTTGGAACTTTTTGTTGTTTGCATTAACAAACTTTGATTATTACTTTTCATTTGCTTACTTCTATGTTACATTTTTCATCATGCATATGCATTGTGTTTCCCAAAATTTTTGTCTTCTTATCAAATTACAACTATTATTAGCATTATTGTTGGTATTATTATTACTCGTATTATCTACTACATATAATAATTTTTTTTATACAAGTTTTATTTTCTTTATTACTCCGTATATCTTTCTTTTTGTACAAAACTATAATTGTGGGATGGTTTTTGTTAGAGATATTGTAAACAAATTTTTACATATTTTTCATGAACTACTTAACTTTTAATTTTTATATTATAATAAAAATTACAAATATATTTTAAAAAGTAATAATCCTTTTTTATTTTATTTTTTAACTAATTTAATTATTTAAATAAAGTATATACAAGCAAATTAAGTTCTCTTCTAATTTAATACAATAGTTTCTTATCATAGATGTAGTTAATATTATGAATTGTGTTATGTTCGCTAAATGTTATATATGTTCACTAAATTCTTTTTTCAATATCCCAAAATGGACAGATTTCTATTGAAATGAGGATGGATTTTGCGATATATTGACAACATAAAGGATGAGTGGCTAGATTTACTCATTGAGTTCATGCATCCGAAAAATCAACATATATAGAAAATTTCTATCAATAGTGTTATTTGAAACCAAACTCATCAAGCACAAGTTTCTATTTATGTCAATCAGTACATAACTTTATGTATAATAAAAGGAGTTTTTTTTTTTTTTTTTTTAACCAAAGTATATGAATACACTTCAATTCGTATCTAAACTCTTCAAACTGTACTTTAGCATAATTGATATAGTAGTTATTTGATGTATTACGATTTACTCCATTTGTTCTTCAATAATCTTCCTATTTTCTGAAAAAACATAAATCCCAATCTCATCAAATTTGTCAAAGTGCCTACTCTATTTCTATGTGAGTATCTTACTTGGACAATGAACAATGTATTCAAAGTTTCAAATATGACATTTTACGGAGGACATTTAGGCCCACTTAAAGAGTCACATTAAAGAGACTTAGATTGATATTGTGCCATCAAAAAAATTTGAAATTCTAGAAGGGCTGGAGAAAATTCCAAAAAAAGAAAAAAGAATAAGAAATTTCAACTAAGTTGTCAATTTTAATTTTAGTAAGAAGCATTAGCATTAGCAATGTACATATGATGAATACAATTTTAGCTTCTACTATAGGAAAAGTATTGTGTAGAACAGACTCACGTGAGTTCGGTCATACAAACAGAAAAAAATAAATATCAATTTATAAGCAGGGGGATGAGGATGGGAATGTGCACTATAAACCGGATTCACGTGAAACGGTCTAACGCAAAATCTTCTCCTACTAATATTAGGAAAAATGTTACTCCTTAATGTTTATAGCTCTAAGCCTTGATCGGTAAATCACTGCTAGTTGACTGATATAGCTGGCCTGATTTGACTGGTTAGTTGTAAATAATTAATTGTGTTAGTGTTTGGTATATAGCTGTTAATTATTAGTTGTTTCAGTTAATAAAATAACCAAAAAAACTTAATTGTTAATAACCTAAAATGAAACTCCTGTTTTGAGTTTTTTTCAAAAGGAGAAAAACTCTTTCAATAAGTTGTTTTACCAAACACTCAAATTAATTTTTTCATAATATATTTAATAGACTCAATAAATTAAAAGCTCTTTAAAAAGCTATTTACCAAACAAAGCTTTATTAACTTGATATTATGAATCATACGTGTTGTTTAAATCTTCATATATGGAGTATTTCTATCTTATTGCTGCAGCAAGGCCTAATAACTTAGTTAAATTTAAGAATTACTAAGCATGTAGTATAGAGTATTAAGGAGTACATATGAAGTATTAATGTATTATAGTTTACTTATGAAAGACCTCGAAGAGTGTGAAATCCAAAGTAAACCTATAAGTAGTTGACTTGTAAAATAGCACAAAAAAATTAGGCAAACTAATTAAGAAAGAGTGAAAATTAAGGTAAAAATTCTTAATTTTATTACTCCAAGCCGTAAGGTTTACTTTGACGTACAAATAGAAGACTTAATGCAAGACAAGTTGTACGTGAAACATTAAAATTGTACTAGTGCACTCTTTTTTTTCTATACACTTGTCCTTAGATAATTGAAGGTACCTTGGGTCTCACGATCCATTTTTATAATATTCCTTTGTCAACCAATGGCAATCTTGCACTATTGCAGACATTTTCATTTTGATAATGAGTTATGATGTTTTGCTAGCAAGATTCTAGTGAAACCTACAGCTTAATTTAAAAAAATTAAAAAAAAAATATATTATTAATCAACTATTCAAAAAAAAATTATGTGATGCTAGCTGAGAATGAAATTGATATCAATAAATAAAATAACATTAGTAAGAAAAACATAAAATTGTTCAAATACTACGTAATTTATAACTACGAATAATATGTTTTGATCATCACATCCAAATATCATAATTATATAATATATAAACGTAGAAAATATTTAG